TTACACCTTTTCACATTAAATTTACAAATTTTGAAACGAAAAAAGTTTTAAATAAAAAAAATAAACCAGGATTAAACAGATCCGTGTAATTTTTTTAACATACACTCGTATCCAAACGCCCATCATCACATATGCTTATGTCTCGACTATTATAATATAGGGCGCGAGCTCTACCATTTAAATATTTTTGTATATATAATCATATATCTTAACATTTCGCTAATCTGTAGTTAAGTGTGCAAAATAATATTTAATAAAAATGAAAAAAATTGTTTGAATAATAATAGAAAAAAGGAAATAGTTTTAATAGTTATAAAGTTATAATGTAAAAAGTACATTTTTTTCTACAATTATCCATCGATTTAGCAACATAACATTATAAGTTGATTGTCAATTTCAAAAAGCCTGCATTTTCCTTATAACTTTTTCGTCAACTTCCCTACTTTTTACAAATTCCTGCTAAATACTTTTTCTAAAACAACTAGGAGTATGATGTTTTTTTTTGTTATTGATACTTTTAATTTGGTGTTTAGTTTTGATGTAGCGCCCATTTTTATTTAATATGTGATTAAATCTTTAAGGAAACTAGAAATTTTATTGCAAAAACAAGACTAGTACTTAATGATTAATTAAAAAAAGAAGAAGAAAACAATTACACTTTGTCGCTCTTAGTAAAATAGTAATAGAATAATAATAATAATAGCGATCAGATCCATTGGAATGTAATAAAGTATATAAATAAGTTTTTTTATAAATAAAAAAAAGGTAGATAGAGTAAATGTTGTGTGTGTGTGTCTATAATAAACTGAGATGTTAATAAAAAAATAAATATGGTCTGTTCTCGATGGCGTGAAAAATGACAATACAAGAGTTTTACAAGTGATGTCATTTTAAAAAGCTGGTTATTAAGAAGTAAAATGGAAATAAATTTGCATTCGGATGTAAAAAATTTGAAGATATATGTTTTAATAATTATATAGGATGTTTCTGTAAAACTTATACAACGTCCTACAATTTAATGAGAGGAAAAGCAAACCTTTTTAACATAATTCAGAAATGGAATAATTAATCAAGTAATATTTTTTTTTGAAAAATTGGAGGTATTGTTGAGTTATGTTGAAAAGTGTACTTAATAAAATATGAATTCGGATTAGATAAAGGATGTTAATAAGATTTTTGTAGACACATCCTATAGAGCGCGAGGAATCGTCAACAAAACTTACATTATTGCCATTCCTCCCCTACTTAATCTACAATAGACAGGCTTTTTAATGGATAATTGAAAATATGCAATAGAAAAAAAGAAATTAAAATTTCTGATTAGGAAAATTAGCAAAAACTATTTATAAAAAATAATAAAATATATTAAATATATATACTTTTTTTAAATAAAAAACAAATATAAATAAAGGATCCTATATAAATTAGCATCTTTTTCCATTTCACTTACATAATCGAACAATAGTAGTACATAATTAAATGTTAAATTAAAAAAAAAAAATAATAATAATGAAGTAGTTATGATGATAAATATGCACACCCAAATACAGTTGTGTAGAATATATCAGAACTATCGACAGCTGACTAATAGATGAACACTTTAGCTAAAAGGAAATTGTCGACAATCGAAAACCCTCGATTTCGTTTTTTATTTATTATTTTTTTTAAGGATTTTCGAAACGTCTAGCGTTTTTTTTTCTTACTTGCACTTCAGTATCCCTCTGAATAAACAATATTTAAAAACAGAACAATGTTCTACCGACGTTTAGCGCTTATTTCTTTTCTTATAATTTTTTTTCTTTTGCTTTAATAATTATTCTCATAGTTGCCGGACATCAAGTCCTAAAGTGCGGGGACAGTTCTCGTGCCAAATACATTTTTACAATTTATGCAATATACAGTTATCGTTAATAATTCATTAATACGTTTATATCCTTTTCATTTATTTAATTTAAAAGAAATTTGTATTTTATATTTATTAACTTTTTAATGCACTGAAGTAAGTATTTTAGAAACGATATTATATAATGGATATCTTAAAAACGATTTTTTTTGGTTACAATGTGATTAACAGGAGTGAATCGTTAATTTTGGTATTACTAAATATTTTAATGTTTGTGTTTAATTATTTTAGATTATTTATGATATTAATAAAATTTGTTTATTATTTATAAAATTAAAATTTATTTATTGATCCATTTTAACCTCTTCCTTTAAAAAATGATTAACAGTGTTCGCAAAGACTCTATGTGGTATTATTTTAAAAATAAATAAACACGAGTTAACAATGGAAAAAGATTCCATTCAAGACTACAATAGCATTATTGTCCGGAAAGGGAATCAATTTCATTAGCTATCAACGAATTTCTTTTAGGCAGCAATTTTTATTTAGAATATAAGCTATTCGACGCTCGCAAATGTAATAACACTGATGGAGATGTTTATTATACGACAATTTGATAAAACCTACCAAAAAGTTGAAATGGAAAACATCATAATGAACAACCTTATTTATGAAATCTGATTTGAATGAAGAACATAAAACCGTGGACGTTGAAAAACAAGGAAGTGATCGCAAAAGATATAAAATTACCTATTTTATGACAGCGTGATGGAACGACCCAAGAACTTTATCGAGCTCTATTATCATCGAAGTTGAGGGTGACATTGATGCTTTGGACCTTTAACTGATTTCAGACCGAAGTAAAAATGCCGAAAATAATGAGCTGAATCGTTATATTGTTGCATTTCAAAGATAGTCAGCTTGAAAATAACGATCGTGTTATTAAAACAAGACTGACGATGGCAACAACTTCATTGAAGTACATTATTATTTTATACAAAATAAGATACAGAAAATAATCTCACTAGAAAAGGAGTGTTAATAATCGAGAATGTATTTAGAAAATAAATTTAGTCTATAGATGTCCTAGAAAATTCAGCATATAAACAATAATTCCAAAAATCTATAAGGATTTATAAAAATTGAAAATAACTAGCATCAAATTGACGGTGACAACGAAAAAGCTGATAATTAATATGATGAGATACATATTGCCGGTATAGATAGAAAATGAATTTTGAATTTACATTCGGGGTTTTAACAAAATACAGGAGTCTTAAACTTCTTGAGTACTATTTTAAGGATAAATATGTTCTTCATAACGAAGTGAACAAAAAGGTTTATATCAATACTTGTCTCAAATAACTTCGTTGCCCATACATTGAGAAAGTTAAACAATATTATTTATCAATAACGTCCTTCTTGTGAATAATCTCACCAACCTTATAGCATCTTTAATCATTTTAAACTTAAAATATTTGAAGAATCAAAGAATTATGGATTTATCATACTTAACGCTGAATTCAACTATAAAAGGTCATTGAACTATTCCACTAAATTATGCGTTTTATTTTATGAATATGTAACAGTTAGGGTTGTGGTGTTCATTAAAGATTCTTGTGTCCATATGGATCTCTGAGAAACTGATTAAAATCATATTAATTATAAACCATTTATATCCAAAATTATAACATTATGACAGAATTTGACAAAGAAGTGTAATAATTCCATAATCTATTTTAGAATTTTATGGAATACATTGAGTAGCTATGGAAAGATTTTCAAAAAATAGATAATTAAACATTAACGACAGCATAGGGATCCCTAATAAAACTCGTCCACAAAGTTTTACTTATTTCCAGTATCTTTTTATCAAAAGTTTGGTAAATGTTGCGATATATGTTAGGATGTGTTAAATTGTAAGAAGTAACTTTCACTATAACACTCATTTGTGAGCCACAGTGATACGAAAAATAATCTAGATTTAAATTCGCTTTGATATTTTTGCAGACTAAGATTTTTAATTGTATTGATTAACAATTATGGAATGCCATACGAAAGAGCAACATATGATTTTTGTCAAAACCCATAAAATGTGGCGAAAGATTTGCAGAGACGATTGAAAAACTCCGTAGAATGGAATGAATCTTCAACTAGGTGATATTTGATGATTAATAACAAAATTTGACAAAATAAGTGAAAAGACGGCTAAAAAATCTTTTCTGGTTAGTATTTAGCTCCAGTACATAGGTTTTGGAACAAAATGAAGAACATTGTGACTTTGGAAAGAAATTCATTTTCTTTTAATTAAAGAAAATTTGAGACTAGGAAATTCTTCGCTAGATGCATGAGACACCAATACATCCTCTACGAGTTACAATATTTCTTTGAAAATAAGTCCAGAAATACAGTAACTGTGAATGGCGACTATAACCGCAATATAACTGGGATCTTATGGCAACAAGTAGATTGCACGAATTTTCAACATATGTGATTCCAACACGACGCTATACAGCTGAGAAAATCAATTTCCTGCTACAAAAAAATTTAGATCGCATAATTTCCTGAAATTTGAATATGAATTGACGAACAAGATCTTGGGATACGAGCCGAATTTGACAATTTATTGATAACATCTTTTATAAAAATTTACCAACCTGTAATATAGGAAGTTTACCAGGAATTTATTTTTTATTTAAACCATAAATATAAACTTATTGTGTAATTTTGACAAGTATTATTCCTGGTAAAGTTTTTATATTAAAACAAAATCACCTGTACGCTTTTATATGGATAATTGTAATATTTTCTAAGGCTTCCTTAATTGAAAAAGTCTGTAATTACAATGTTTGAAAAGGTTAAATGCGACTATGAATACTACTGACCCTAATTATCAATTTGATATCCACCCCTGTTAATCGTTAATATTATTTTAAAACTCATTTCCTACAAAATAAATAGTGTATGTGCATTAAAAAATTAATTTGTCGCTGTTAATATTTTTTTTTTAATTTGCGGTGTACACAGTACACAAAATTAATCAAATTCACAATATTTGGCACTTTTTATATAATACACAAAGGACGAACGATCTTCCAGCAGCTACGTTTTAGTTCCTATTTTTTAAGTTTTCGCTCATTTTTTTTTTTATTATTCATTTTCTCGATAATGTCTCGAAGAGGGATGACTGCCTCTCTCGCGCGGGAGTGTTTCGTTTTTTTTCTTTAACGTTTTACAACACACATGCACACACTGAACGTCCCCGGTTGTATTTTTTTAATTAATTATTTTTAATTCACTTCTCATTCTTTATCGTGCCATTCGAAGCCGATTGCTAAAACGTTCGTAATCATTTCTTTTTCGTTGATACAAGATAAAACATATAAACATATAATTAATTAATAATTAAATTCATTAAATAATATGAGTTACAGTTATGGAATATACTCGTCGTCGATTCAATTTCTTAGTTTAAATAGGTTGCTTTTTAATTAATTTCTTGTTTTATTATTTTTTTAATTACTACTTTTTCTTAAATATTTTTTAAAATTTAATTTAATTCACTAAAGTTATAATTTTGAGTATCACAAAAGGATTAGGTGAGTTTCTTTGTTCTTTTTTCACTAGGATTAATAAAAATAATTTTTGTTCCAATTTTAGACAATATGATTATCGCTTTTGTGTTATTTATCTAGGTCAATTAATTAACTAGGTTAATAACACATATTTATCTAAGAAACCAATAGGTTTCTTTCTTTTTTTAACAAATCCTTCTAGGAAACTTCGCCATAAACATAGAGTAAAGTCATCATTAAGATTTTATCTAAGAATTCTTAAAAAACAGAAATAAAGTTTTATTTTTAAAAGAATTAACATGATCTTATTAACACACGATGTTTCAAAAGTACTGAAACTGAATGAAACATCTTGCGTATTGAATTATTTATTAAATGATTAACATTACATTTCACTATTACACCACATTTTCAGCATCCCATTAAATTGATCTATTAATAATATTTATTTATAAATTAATGGAAGCATTAAGTTTTTTTATTATCTAAAGAACCCTTTAACACTTTATTTCTTCAAGCTAAGCACTTTTATCAAAAATTCATATCATCTAAAATTGGTCAATTTAAATAGTAATACAAAATAAATAATTTAATTTAAAGTAGTAATTAAAAAATCAAAAAATTAATATGTATCACGATTACAAAAGATTCTTTGTTATCATTCGTGATTCATATCAATTCTAAAAAATTAATCTTTCGATTAATTTTTTTTATCCTTCAACTAACACACCATCAATACCATTTCTTTAACATTTCTCGTTTCTTATATCTTTAAAAACATTTTTTTTCACGATCACCTAATAACGGTTGCAACGATTGGTCAGACACTAGGTTTCGGACGGTTCGATGAGAAGTTTATCGTAGAAGTCGTCGTCGCCGCTGTCGTTGTAGTCGTTATTAAAGAACTACTCGGCGAAATAGTTGAATTACTAGATGTAAAATTGTGATCGTTTCGTCTCATCGGAACTATCACCACCGGTACATTCACGTGTTGTTGCTGATGCGCGACAGCAACACCACCGCTGACCGTAGAAGTAGTATTAGTCTTTTTGCCCCCTGTGAACCGTTTAACGGTTCGTTGCAGGAAGTCAGTCTTTTGATGGTTCGCCGACGATGTCGCCGAAGAACTTGTTTCGACGCCTCGTTTCGACGAACTTCCTGTTGATGATGAAGACATCGAATGGCATCGTACCACTAACGGTGCGTTATTTAGTCCTCCTCCGCAACCACTTCCGACACCCGTTGATGATGAGGAAGATGATGACCAATCGCCGCTACTCGAACTACTTCCGCTTATGGACCCTAGGAGACCCACCGAACTCGATCTGTATGGTGGCGGTGATTCTGATTCCAATACTGTACGATTTGGTGGTGGTTTTATACATTTTTGATAAATTTCGGACTCCTACAAAAATCAAATTTAAATTTATTAAAAAAAGATTCTCATTAAATAATCTAATAACTAATATGTTTTTGAGACATAACTAAAATAAGAAAATTGGATATTTGCTGTATCAATTACACCACGACAACCAAGATTTGAATTTAAATTAAAAAATTCTGTTAATAAATTGTATTTCATACAGTTTCCCTGTTCTCAATACTAGTCCATTAATTTAAGATATCACCTGTATCGACGTTCTTCCCAATGCTCCCCAGGTTTTAACAAAACATTTCCTAGTTGTAGATTTTTGTATACGTCGATTAAGAAGCTATTATTCCAAGCTGTCCGTGCAATGACGAAGTTAGAAAAGCAGTTATATTCATTGATTTATTGTTATGTTACGCTGATTTTAAGCAATGTGGGTGCTTCGATGTAAGACAGCTTTCCAGAGAATGTGTAGAGTGAGTAACAATCAATACACATTCAAAACTTTGAGAATTCTTTTCTGGAAACCAAGGGGCTTTGGCAGAAGGTGTTGAATATCTTCGATACCCCAATCACCAAAATCTGTCTGTGTGCCGCATGTTGTAGTATTCTTTTGTAAGGTCAGTTAGACTTGTTTGCAAAATTTTGTCAAGGTTAGTTAAAAGAAGTTTGTCATGGTATCCTATCGTCCACCCAAAACGATTTGAATACTTAATAACTTGTAATAATGTCATGTTCCTTTAATGCAATGCAAAGTAAAATATCTGCCTGTTCCGTGGATTACGGATAAATGAAGTAGTCTGCTGCGCAAGAATAATTGGGCCAAGATTCTTTTTCGATGGCTAAATTTTCTGGCGCAACTCAAAAACATTTCGGAAAACCATGCGGTATCTCGGTTTGATCTAAAAAGTAATTCTCTCTTTTGCATCGATGCATTCACATTTCTTGAGATCATTTAGTTAGTGTTACTCAAGTATGGTAAATATTTTCCTTCCACATTGAAAGAAAAACATTCATATCATTAATCTCTCCTCTGAGACTGTGACAATTCCGTCTATCGGGAAACTGGCCTGCCTCATATCTATATTTAAATTAACATATTCTAAGCAGAATTGTCATAATAGTTTTCGTCACTCTCCCAAAGAAACTTATTTCTCTAGTTTAGAAGTATATGAATCGCTACAACTTTAAAAATTCCCTACATAACTTAAATATATGGTAAATATGCCAATATAATAACTTCATAAAATAACAACGTAAGCTTTTAATGAAACAGCTTCACCTAAATAATAATCGTAGATATATTTTGAATTGGAAGCAAACAATTGTTAGATGATTGTGACATACAAACAAGTTCGAAAAAACGAAAAAAAAGTTCGAACGATGCTGGTTCTAAAAGTTATATTTTAAAGACTATTTACAATTAGGATTCGCGATAACAAAGTAACCAACAAGAACAGACGGTTTTGTGTTATTTATTTCAAAAGTTTAAAACTATAAGTATGAAAATTCTGAAGTGCCATTCAAAATCAACTCGTAATCTTCTATAAACTTTTATTTGTTTTTATGTGTTTTATCTGTTAATGAACAGCTTTACTAAAATATTCTTATAATGTTTCCTATCAAACAGCTCGATTCGAAAGGTTGCATCACTTTTATTCTGCAAACCAGTACCCGATAAACCGATAGGAATTGTCTTAATTATGCATAATCAATTTATAATCAAGGTTATCATACAAAAAACTGTACCAAAATATGTAAAGATGATAATCAACCAATACCAGAACTGTTCCAAAGGTTATAAATCAAAACCATTTGTTGTTCTTTGCAAAACTATGGAAATAGAACATGCAGCATTGCTTTTGACTGTGATTCTTTGTGGTTATCACATGGAAGTAACCTAGACTTTGATTCAATTTATCATGGTATGATAATTGCAATATTGTCTGACGCTGGTTTTATCCATAAATGCATACAATTGCAAAATGTTGCAAAGTTGCAGATCATTGAACTTAATGTTCATTGATCTTAAACATTTTGCATTAATACTCCTAGTTATTTTTTATTTATCTTCCAGAATTTAGTATGAGTCGTAGCCGCGCACATTCCCATAAGAATTTACAAGACATACTTGATAACTACTCGGATAGTGAAGATGCGCTACATTTTTCTGACAATGGGATATGTGTACTTTGGACCAAGTTATAAAGATGAAACTGACTAAAATGCTGAACTGCTATTAGCGAGAAGTTTTGGATGCTGCTGAGGGTGAACGTTTCGTGGCTTATCATTTTCGAAAAAAAAACTACAAAAACAAGATATCGTTTAGACACAATTTTGAAAACAACGGGATTTCATGAAAATTAGAATAACAATAAGTCTCAACTGATCCTCAACCTGGGTTGGGTTAGGTCTCAACCCAACCTAATATTTCGAAATTTGCTTTTATATGTCGGTTATACAACGCTCAAGTGTTCGAGATTATTAGAATTTTGTGCCATTGCAAAAAATTTGACATAATAAGATGAAATTTGCGTTTATCACGTTTTGTTTATCATTTGACGTTTAACGACGTCATCACGATCGACTACATAAACTTCGAACTTTGATTCCAAACCTGAATACTACATTTCTCCGATTCAATATATGCCAATATATGCCAATGAAACTTCACCACTGAATTTCAAACTATTAGTGAATATTTGACGTGACTGACTTATTTGAGATTACACAATGAACCTAATCAAGAACCCCAGCAAAAATTGTACTCCACCTGTGTTGAAACATTGCTACAAGGTAAAATTAAACAATCTACTACGATAACTACTATACAAACAGAAAAACGTAAGGAGTGAAACATTATCTTGGCAACGTGCAGTGAGACCGAATACAGAATTGTGAACCACCAATAGAAAAAGACTTAAAAATAAAAACAGAAAAATCTCATCACTAAATGTTGAGGTACATAAAATGATAGAGCAATCTTCCTAAACTTGAAAGATGGTTGAATGATTACTACACATGGTTACTTTACAGCGAGTTCTAACTGCTTGAGAAGTGCAAACCGAAATAAGGCAACAACAAAAATTTAGAAGAGGGGTATCCAATTGCTTGTGCAATTTTCTAGGTACGTTTAGCTCCTGTGATACACATACACAGTCAAATATGACGTCGAAACAATGTCCAGAAAATGCGCAAGGCAATTCTCAACATATGTGACCAAAAAACAATTGCACTGACAAAATTGATCAATGTTTTCCGAAAAAGAGCCAAAAGATACAAGTTAGTACGTGACTTTTTATCTACGTCAAATATTTTTGATATCATTCAGATAATGTGATATGTCTCATTAGAATACATTAGGTCTGTTACTTTTTCAACATTTATTAACAAAACATTATCCTGCTGACTCTCTTCAAGTCCATATTTTAACAACTGTGAATTATCTTCCAACCGCTCTGACACTTGGGTCTTGATATGCTTATCGTACTCTTAGGCTGATTCATTCAGGTAATAGTATTTTGGTTCAAACCACATCCAACTAGATTAAACACCATTGATATCCAATTTGCTTCATGGTAGTTTTAGTAAATTTTTTCTCAGATAGGTATAAACTCTGTAATGACTCTGTAATATTTGGTCACAAATTCAATCTGTTTGCAAGAATGTTTATACATGCTTAGACTCTTTGCATAAACTTGATAAACCTGTTTTCTTCCAAAAATGGTTCACCGTAACCTTTGTTACCCACAAACTTTTCCTAATATTGATTTGCCGGTACTATTTGATATTTTCAAATAACAGATTCATTTTCAGGTTCAGATATTTTCAGATATTTTTCTAAATCCTACAAACTGAGAAAAATGTTGCTAGAATCTGCAAGATATGTCTAAATTATCCTAGATTCAAACCCATATTCACACTATTTCGGTACCTTTTGCTAACCAACATTACAGCAAATCATCACACTTGTAGCTTTCTTGGATTATTTAAAATACTTTTCGAATTGCTTTAAATAGGATGAAGATTGTGGGAGGAAAAAAATGTACCTGTTCTGGGTCTCTGATGTGGAGCCTGGAGTGGTACGGATGTTCTTCACCGTCGGGCATTGATATCCTGGGGGGAAGGTTGATGGCCAGATCTGTTCGCACTGAGTGCATGCGAACTTGCCGGTCCCTGGCGGCTGCTAATTCCCTAGTTCCTCGGCTGCGCAGACGGTCCATGCCGCCTACACCCGCCGCGGCGCCGGCGCTTACCACCGACAGCATCTGCAAAGAAACCAAAAAAAAAAACTAAAATTAGAAACATTTTCAAAAATGTATCTTATTTTATTTTGTAGTGTTTATTTCGTTCGTTTTATATCAATTGCTCCCGTTTCAACTTCTATTTTTAGAACAACGGTATGCAATGGAAATGCAAAAAATTCTCAATTCATTCCATTCATTCATGAAAATAATCCTGAATGCTGCTGCTGTTTTCGATTTGAATTGCATGACCGAACCCGATTGAAACGGTCTCCTTGAATCTTTCATATGGTCATCAATACATTACATTAACAGTTTTCCGTTTTAATTTTAATAATTCAAAAATAATAACCCAACAATGGAAAACGTTTTTTTTTTCTTTTTATGATTTAATTTGCAATTAAACGAACGAAAAAAGAAACGGAGCGATAATAGCTTCGTTAACTTTTTCATTTTACGCTTGGATCATAATTTCCGACCGATTTTATTACTCAATTTTACCCTTGACTTTCTTCCCCGCCCTTATTGTCAGTTCATACACACACATACAATGGACGCCTGTATAACCCCCTGGTTTAATAAAGTTCAAAATTACTTCCGCAAATTTACCAGTCGACCGAGGCCAACAGCGGCGGCGGCGGCAGTAGTGGTTTCAACAGCGTCGCTTTTGGCATCCAATATATCGTTCAGATCACACATCACAATGGTCAACAATTAACGTCTATCTACCGTTTCAGTTACTAAATCAATAGCTAATTTATCGTGATGGTATTATAACACATCAATAGTTAAATACTGTCTGTAATAAGATTAATGGTGGAGGAGCCGGCAAAAGAATTTTAATTATTTCATATTCTGTTGAATCAAATTAGGAAATAATAAAGCAAATGTAATTATTTTTTCGGTTTTGGTGGTTTTTATTAAATTAATGTAGATTTTAAGGAAAAATTATCAATGAGGCATTGATTTTATTAATATTGGCAAAATTCTTCTCAATCGTAATAGATTTCTGATAACTTTTGTTAAAATTGTTATAGATAAAAAATTGTTTGTGTGTGTTAGTTAAATTTTAACGAATTGTGGTACATTTTCATCATTGAAAAAACATTGAGAATTCTCTAGTAAATGTACTTGCTGTGATAGAACACACAGCATGTGTAATTTTGTTTGAACATGTTTATATAACTAATAAAAATATGTACATTTAATTGATAAGTTATATATTTTTCAAATTTGACCTTAATTTGCCGTAATTTCAAGTTTCGCTGGTTAACTAACAAGTTTTCCCATCAAGTAATTAATTTTAACTATATTAAGAATTTGGAAAAATTCATATTTACGTTTGCCAATCTTTCAATTTGTTCAAATTTATACTTTGAGCTTAGTAAGCGTACATATTCCACAGATGGTTTGAACAATACCAATGTTGATGCTTTTTCAATACCCTGTGAAGGGCACAATTACGTTGCGAACAACAAATTCTCTAAGCGGAACTGAAGCTTTTATCTTTTCGCAAATCTGGAAATCCGTTTATGACATAATTAATACTGACATCAAATGCCAGTCAGAATTTGGTTTCAAACTTATCCGATTTGTTTGGTGTATATTGCGTAAATATAGATCCTCTCTTGGGAAGCGATGTTCACCGACAGTTACATGTCCCATGCTACAATGTATGGCTAATCATGATGAATTAATATGGTAATGCAAATTTACGGCAAATTTATCGTTTTGCAATAATAATAAGTTAATTAAAAGTACTCTTACTTATGAGTTTTAATCGTGATTTCAGTTCCTGTTTCATATTCAATAAGGTATTGTTATGAAACAATTGTTTGTTTGATATATGTCATGAACATTGAACAGAGCAATAAATGCACTGAGCTTTGCATTTATTTATAAGTTCATTTGTTCCCACACGCTGTTGGCCAATGACCAAAAAATTGGATTTACACTTTCCTTTTCATAATATTTCGTTTGGCGAATTACTTCGAGCATGGATCCTCCCTAAAAATATTATGTCGAATTGCATTACAGATTTATTTTCGATCTTCGACAGTTTGTTGAGATATATCAGGTCACACTTTCATTTCTCAGTAATTAAGGAGGTCTTTGTAACACATTACCAGGTCATAATCATTATTCTCAGGTATACGACGATATTATAGTGGCCCTTCTCTTCTCGAATGAAGAGATTCGTTGTCCACGTCACTTTAAAGCTACGACAAAACAACTTATTCGTGATGAGTTTCTTGACGTTAGACGCCACCTGCTGATTCATAGACTGTATTATGAAAAGAGGGAGAAGAGGTTTTGAGGGTTTTAGATTATTTTATGGCGACACTGCTCTACATAAATAAAAGAGCAATACAAGAGTTACAACAGCTGGATCAATCTAATCATCGCTCAATCATTTGAACTCTATCATCTGTGGAAACTCTATAATAAAACCATACTGGGACGGTATGGGAATCACGCGGATGTATCAATCTAGTTAAGATTGTGGTGTTCTAGTTGTGTTTTACTTACTTTGAGTGAATTAGAAGTTGATGTTATTTCTGATGATGTTTATGGCATATTTCTTATTTTGATACAAATATAGCTAAATAAAATGGATAAATTTATCAAAAAGAAACGTGATTTCGAAGAATCCAATACGAAGTGCAAATAAGTGTAAGAAAAGAAGTAAAATCTCGCCCTACGTGCAAATATAACGAAAATTACTTAAGCTTTACCGCTATGTTTAATAAGTGAATGTCAAATTGTAAATAAATCTTTGCTCCTTAGTAAATTGAGTAAACTTTTTAAAATTGCTCAATATAACTTACACAGAACAAGATATATCTAAGTATACAAGTTATTTCAAGAGACTGTCTGAGCAGCAAAAGAAAGCGGTGAATTCTTTTAAAAGTATTAATGACTTTTCTGATAAAGCTGAAATCACATCTTATCTTAAAAAATATGTAAGTCCATACTTAAGGTAAATCACTTATTTTACCTGCATGCAAACAAATAACCATGACAATGCTATGAAATGAAACAACAATAAAAAATAAAAAAGCAAAATTCTACTATTCAACGATACAGTTCGAAGGCATATTATAGAAATATCATCTGATATCGAGAAAAATGCATATATTCATAAAGTTCAGAAGTCAAACTTTGCTCTCCATTTTAAAGAGTCAAAAGATATTGAAAATAAGGCGCAACTCATAGCATTTGTCCCATCCGTGGTTGACTGTATTAAGGGCCTTACATGTTTTGTAAAAAAATCAAAATGTTATTGTAGGTCACTGATTTCTTCATAGGCCTTAATGGCATAAACATTAAGAGAAAAGCAATATTAGATCAAGCTGTGCAAATATCTTTGTGTCGATATGGACGTCTAACACAGACGCCAGCTTTTGCACACTGAGGTTGTTAAGAAGAATAGTACATAATAGTACAACTTCATATTTGTAACCTCCTGCGCTAATTTTAGACTTCCAAGTTACAATATTAGGTTGACATGTTTCAGTAGCTTAAGCAAAGAAGAGAATATTGTCACATCCACCGATAAAATGAAAGCAGATTTGGAACCGCAGATATGGAAAAGAAAAATTTCTATATTTACACTTTCATAGTTTTCAAACATTTAACAAATTTAGAAGAAAAACTGGATTCTTATTTTCTATCACTTAACACTAAACAATACAATTGCATTACAAATACACATTCATGGAACCATCAAGTAATTTTAATAGTAATTTAACACTGTCAGCTATATTCACTGATCGTGTATTGACGATTAAACACAAAAAATTGCTTCTTGAAGCCTTTTGGATTTCTATAAAAGAAGAGTATGAGGCAATGTTGCAAATAGTATTGAAAATTTTGCTTCAATTTTCAACTTCTTACCTTTATGAGTAAGAATTTTCTGCTTCCTAGACAATCAAACCTGAAAAGAAAGAGAATTTTCAATGTGTTGATGAAGAAATGAGCGTTTCTCTCTTAAATGTATGCAACAATATCGATGAAATCGCCCGACAATACCAATCTCATGTATCTCATAAACAGAATGTAGTTAGAATAAAATAAAATGTTGTAAGGACAGACTAAATTTTTTGTTTTGTTGTATTAACTCATTCCATTGCTATAATTTGCGCCACGATTTCAACAAGTTTGAGAATCACTGCTTTAGACTAATATTACATTACTACTCCGGTACCAGAGAGAGTGAAAGGAAGTTTGTTTCCATTTACCGGATCCAACTTGTATGTATTGCATAAAAAATTGAGCTGGGGAAACTAATTTAGACTTTAGAAATAAATTACTAGAAAGGCTTCCTCATGATAATCATCCGACATATTAATTTTATTATTTACATTATAAGAGAAAAAAAGAAAATGAGAGAAAGTCGCTGTATATGAGAAATTTGCAACGTTCTATTATGGGCAACTCCGTGCTTTAAAATGTATTATACACAAGAAAATTGTTAGTGTATTTGTGAATTTTTATTATTCGTAATCAAAAATAGGTAAAACTTTCCTCTTGCACCATTTTAATAAGCTTGAGTAGTGAATCATGGCATTCACAAGGATTCAAAAAGTCCTTTGTAACCTGCAACGATGCTCGGACTTCTTCCTGCGGTGCTTCGACTAAGTTACCTTGAAAAGAAGAATCTGGCCACGATACTTCTGGCATCGTCAACCAATGAGGTTTATTCCAACACAAACGATTTGCAATAAGTTGTGCTGGTGTCAAGCCTCGAGAAGTGCAGTCAGCAGGGTTAGACTCACATGAGATGTGTCTGCAATGAGTTTTTGGAACATCTTCCTGTATGTGAACTACTCGGTGTGCTACAAAGATTTTCCAACGAGCTGGAATCGACGAAAGCCGTACTGAGTTACTATTTGTGCATCAGTCCAGGTGACAAATGTATTAATAAATGGTAAAAAGGGTAAAATGTTGTTTTATTGTAACCGTGTTTATGAACACAAGTATGCGCAAAGAGATTAATTATGTAATAATGTTACATTTTTGGC